GAACCAGAGCAGCTTGGGAGTGTGCCTACTGATGAATCCGCTATCACACAGATGTGTGAAGTTACAGGAGGTAACTGGGTGTTACTTTGCTTTGGTTCACATTTTGTATTTGCCTTCAGGTATTTCTTTTCCTTTGATTCAGCTTTTTTCACTTTTTTTTTCAATTCGCCTCTTGCTGTTATCTTGGTCTGAATTATTCAGCATCCGTGTGAAGGTGTGGTGTTTTTTGAGTTTGGTTTCCAGTAACACAGGAGAACTTTAAAATAAAACCGTATTCGTACTTCAGATCTCCTAGATGTGGGAGACTTTTCTTAATGCACCAGTAGGAGGGATTGGAAAATTTCTTAGATTGTCCTTCCAAAGGTTGGCTTTGTTATTTAAATGTTGAATTGAGTGGGACAGGTATTATTGAGATGTTAATTCTGCTGCAGGGCTAATAACCTAAATTTAATCTTGGAAGGATTAATTCTGGAGCCTGTTCCTTGAGATGTTAATGAGAATTTTTTTGAATTTGTGCTTGGAAAAAATGTTGAATGAGAGGGGAAATTTGGGAGTGTATAGGGGTTGGTAAGGTTTGGGTAAACAAAAGCAGATAGGTTACATAGACTTGATGAAATCGTATGTTCTTAAGGGCATTTATAAAATGGGCCTTAGACCAGCCCAATTTAGCCATAATGACCTCTTATACTAATGAGTAAAAGCTCAGCAGGTTGGATTTTTTGTTGTTGGGGTTTTTTTTTTCCTTTTCTTGGTTGTATCGCATTTGAAAAGTATTTTGCCATTTAGGTAAACTTGTACAAAGTTTGTTGCTGTTATTTTGGATTATGCTGAAAGCCATGGCAGTGTGACTTCTGTAATAAAACATCTTCCTTAATTAAGATTACTGGAAACTTGCTCTCACGTTTTCCCTGTGTATTTTATCTCTCACATAGGTCGTTCTTACTGCGTACGGACACAAAGAATGTTGAATCAGTGTTTAGAATCTCTAGTTCAGAAAGTCCAAAGTGGAGTTGTTATTAACTTTGAGAAGTCAGGACCAGATCCAGCTCCTATTGGAGAAGGTACACTAACTGTTTTGTTGTTTGGTTTTTTTTCCCCCCTAATGTTCAGATGTTTTATATGCATGCAGATGTCCTTAATTGTCTTCAGTGTCCTTCCTACCAGCTTTTTGCTGTAGTATACAGCATGTATCGAATGCCTAATGCATTCTAAAAAAGCAATTAAGCCATAAAGCTTATGTGCTTAGTGATCGAGCTCTGGTACCTCTTTAAATACCCCAAATCATAGTGGATGTGCTGGTCACAGCTTTTGAGTAGTTTTATGTTTATTTATGTTTAGTCTTTGTTATAGTTTTGCAAGTGTTAATTTGATCCTTGAGAAGTTAAACAGTGCCATATTCTTGCACGTATTTGGATGACAAATACCTGCTTGCTACCTCTCCTGCCACTGTTTTCTCACCTCTTTTTTGTGGGCTGAGAGAAGTGAATGTTTGCAGGCATCAGTAAAGGTTGAATTACAGTCTTGTGAAAACTTGCATTTTAAAAGAATTAATCCAGGGCTGGTGTATTTAACCACTTAAACACCTGTAAAGTCGTCTCAATGCGTAATGTTGTATGCTTTCATTCTGCTAATTGATCACAAACAGTTTCAGTTGAGTATGCTTAGCTGCAAGTGAAACACTGTGTGCGAAGAAGTACTTACTTTTCTAGCTGCAAGTAGTTAATGTCCATACCAGGGAGGAGGAAAATGCACTCGTAATGTGGAGCAGTTTTTCAGATTTGCAGAAATCCATGGCTGAAAGGGAGGATAGAGAGCTGATGGGTTCATGTTTAGGAAATGAGGATGTTTCTGGAATGTCAGAAACGTAATAGCTTTTAAGATCCCCTGAGAATCCTAGCACAGCCAGCTTTATTCCTGCTTTCAGTTTTGAATCGCCTTTGTTGTGCTATGTATTTTTTTTTCTCCTTTCGCTTATTTGAATGTGATTTTATTGGAAGGCTTTCCTATAATGGCATGCAGGACAGCACCTCAGCAAATTCCTCTGTCTGTTGGCCCAAATGTTCTCCTATGTGGCAAGACAGCTGGTGATTTTTTTTTTTTGTTTTAAATTTTATCACGCTTAAATGGTGATGCACTGTGGATATAAATGTTCAGAAACATCGAGACTTTCCCACCTCAGGTGAATTGAGAAAGTCCTAAACTAGAGAGAAAGTTGTTGATAGAAAAATCACTGTTTATAGAATGCAGGGAAACCAAACTGATGTGTATCTGATAGGTGTTTAGCACAGTATTATTTCCCAGCTGCCTAAAACAGGGAGAATGAGTAGTGTGAAGTATCTTCACAGTGGAGAAGATTCTTTAAAGGGTGATCTCTGCTTTGCCACTTGCTTTGAAGAGCTGTCTTCAAAATGTAATGCTGAGATTCTGTGCTGCTGCAAACTTTTGTCCTCAGTGTGAAGGTGTCTGTGCTGGGCCACTACAGTGGACTGACAGAAAACACTGATCTTTCCAGTATAGGGTGAGATTAAAGTGATCTGTGAACTCTTACTAATTTAAAATGTGACCAAGCTACTCCTGCGTGATGCATCTGACTTTTCCATGAACCTCTTCTGCATTTCAGCTGTCACTGGTGGCAGCATCAGTCAGAGAGCTTTGCATCCCATGTAGAAAGACTAAGTGCAAATTATAAGAGTGAAAATCAGTCTTTACAAGTGCAGCAGAGCTAAAACTGGTAGGTTTGCTGGTGCCTGTCAGATCTGTGTGGAAGTACTAAGCTCAAGCAAATAGCATTTTCCGTAATACGTGAGTACACCTTGCTGCAGTAGTTATCTGACGGCTGTGCCACAGGAGCAGAAAGGTGGATGTGGGCAAGCGTTTTCATTGTTTCTTAGATTATGCTGTTCTGTATTTTGAATATAATTTTTTCAGCCACTGATGATAACATCTGTGTGTCTTTGAAACAACTGTAATGAAACACCTGATCGGTTCCTAATACAGAAATTTTGCTGGGAGACAAATGCATGCATGTAGCTTTCTTTTTTTGTTGTTACTTTGCTTTGTTTAAATTTTAGATGGACTTGTTGATTCATCCAGGCCCATCAATTCATTTGCTTCGCAGCCGTGGCATAGTTGTCATAAACTCATCTATGTGCGGCCTAACCCTAAAACTGGTGTTCCTGTTGGGCACTGGCCAATCCCAGAATCTTTTTGGCCTGATCAGAATTCACCAACACTGGTAAGTAAAATAAGAACTGAAAAGAGATTTCTACACCCACTGCAGCAGACTGAAAGTGAATAATAAAGCAGTTTGGTGTTTCTTGGGTTGGTTGGTTGGTTGGTTTGACTTTCTGTCTGCTGATATGATCTGACTTTGCTTTAAAAGAGTAGTTAAAAATTATTTCTAAAACAGAGTGGTGTAATCTAATGTAGGTACTGTATGCTGTGATGTTTTCTGTGTCTGGAGGGTTTACTTCCATGTATATGGTTAGTTAATTTGAGAAATGGTTTTTGAAGTACTATAAAATATAACCTTTTTATCACTTCACATGCCACAAATCATTGTAAACCTATTAAATTTTGATCAAAGCTTTATAAAATGGATTTATATGGAAAAGGGAGTATTTGTTTTTGACAGAGGATCAACCATGTTTTCTCAGCTTAGCATTACTTCATGTATGGGCTCTTCTTTCATTAACAGGAAGAAATGAAACTGAAACAGAAGAGTTCAGAAAATGAGGCATTTGTTTCTCCTCCTCTTACTGAAGTGATCATACATTTGGCATGTCTTAGTAGCCTTTATAAACATCTCTGTTGTTAGGCGTGTTATGTTTGTGTACTTTGCAAATGCTCAGGACAATGTTTCTCCCCAACCCTTCGATTCAAGAGGAAAAAAAATTGCCTTGGCAAGGGATATCTCGAGATCCTTTGTGAAGTGAGCAGTTTCACATCTGTACGGCTCGGAACATCGAGCACAGAAGCAGAGTTGAAGTTTTTTTTTCTTTAAACCTCTCTGTGATGCTAGAGGTTGATTGGCACGGAGACTTTTAAATATCAAGATAAGTAGTTGAATACTAACCATGGCTTTCTTATGGTGGGATGAGTGTCTTCATGTGTGTGGCTTTTTTTTTAAGTTAGAGAATTACTTATTTAATTAATTGGTATTTTTTTCTCTGTTAAAGGAAATTGCAGAAACTAAGAGGTTAAACCTGTAGGATGATAAAATACACGTATATGAATCTTTTTAGGAGAACTGACTTGTTTACCATAAATACCAGATAATTGATACGTTTTTTCCCCTTCCTTTTAGCCTCCACGCACAGCTCACCCTGTTGTGAGGTTCTCCTGTGTGGATTGTGAGCCAATGGTAATAGACAAGCTTCCTTTTGACAAGTATGAGCTTGAGCCTTCACCCTTAACACAGTACATCTTGGAACGAAAGTCTCCCCATACCTGCTGGCAGGTATTTGGCCTTTATTTGATTCTAGAAATGTAATGGGCATCCTAAGGTACTGTAGTCTTTGTAGGTCTGGTTGCAGACTGTGCAGTTGATGAGAAGAACCGTGTCAAGGTTTGAGTTACCTCCTTTCAGGAGTCAGAACGTGTGGTCCCTCTACAGGCTTTGTAATTTCATTTAATTCTGTTTCTAGGTCTGTCTCATTTTGCTAAGAAGCACGTCCCACAGGTTCCATTTTTCGCTAAATTGAAATTCTCTGTAGGCTTCTGTTTGCTTACAGAGAAAACCTAGCATTCCTTTCCATCATGTTACCTAATCAACAGCTGCAAATAATTTCCACTAGATGCTTGAAACTGCTAATAGGAATTCAGTGGAAGCTGTTGATCTTGTTGACTGGATTGGCCTCGAAGAGGTCAAAGTTCTGTTGCTGAAATCCTTTGTCACATGCTGCTTCTGTGATTTTTGGATAAGTGACTTGTTTCTGCATCCTCTAGAAAGTAAGGCTTGTAATTCCCCTCTCAATGATGTTCTTGTAAAGAACAGCTTAATATGTACACCAGGAATATGATGCTTTAGTTGGAAAGATGGGTTTGGAGTTGTCTTTCATGTTTCTGTTTCCCTAATAAATATTACAACTTAATGGAACATATCATATGCGTATTCAGAAGAAAAATTGAAGTTACTTGTAATAAACTAATTTTTAAAATGTCCTTTAAGCATTCATAAGTACATTACTTGCCCAAGTTACTAAAATTACTCTGCTGTTTTTCAAAGACTGCATTTCTTCTCCCAGCTACATATCAAACCCTTACAAACTAGAGAAATAGGCTCATTGTCATAGAAACCACGTAACAAACCCTGTTCCTTATTCCCTGAAAAAAAAAAACAGAGGAAAAATACCTGCTTTTTACTGTAAGGTTTACTTTTTCTTTTAGGAAAACTGTTTTTGGTTAGATGTGAATTATTTTGACTGTCTCAGTAAGAATATATACACCATCTTTATCCTGTTGAATTAGTTGGTGACATGTATTGCTTTTCCAGGTTAATACCCCCGTTTATACACTTCAAAAAAACCCCAAAAAGTCAATGTTAAGAATGTTGGCTCTTGACATAATAAAAAGACCTCAGGAGAATTTTAGGAGACCTTTCTTGACTATTTGTTTGTTTTGCTTAAAAATATTTAGATTTTTTTAATCAGTGTTGTAAATTTTAGTCATGCTATTTTATGAGTCAGAAGATTAATTTCAAATAGATTGTTTTTTAACATCCCTTCAACAGATGGCTCCTAACCTATGTTAAATAATTTAAAGAATTTTTAGAACATCACTTCAGAGCAGTTTCACTAAAGCACTAAAGATGATGCTGTGAAGAGCACTTCCATACTGGCTGAGGGCACACTGAATGTTGCGTGTCTCAGTTTTGTGACTGGGGAGTGTTAAGTGCATGCTCATCCTGATGTGTGCAACCTCAGACTTGGCTCTTCTTGATGATTTGCTGTCCTAATGCAATTGGATTCAGATTGATTTTTGTTTTTAAATCCCCATGCTTAATATCCTTCATTTTCTTGTAATACGACGATATCTCTTATTCTTTATCAGGTATTTGTGAGCAGCAGTGGAAAATACAGCGAACTTGGCCATCCGTTTGGGTATTTAAAAGCAAGCACTACTTTAACCTGCGTAAACCTCTTTGTGATGCCTTACAACTATCCTGTTTTACTTCCATTGCTAGGTAGGTAATCAGTTTACATTGGACTGCCAATGCAGCTACTTCAGAATAAAAGCAGAACAAATAATGGTTGCTATTCTGCCTTAGTTTGAGACTTTATAAAATAATGGAGATCAGAGAGTAGCGAATGTTGCAAACTCTTTAACATAATTTGGGAGGAGAGGATTTTCATACCCCCTCTCCCTTTTTTTCTCTCCAGCAGAGGAGGAGAGCTACCTGCTTCCAGTGCATGTTTGATGCTGTTCACCTCCTAGACACGTAGCCTCTTCCTTAACCTGGAGTAAGCTTCAACCTCCATTCTTTTCCCTCATTTAGGGTGTGGTGTATCCAGGTTTTGCAGTTGCTCTTGTAGCAGCTGATTTTTTACTGGAAGATCAGATGCAGTATTTGTCATGGGTGTTGGGAAGAGGGAATTCCCTGCCAGAGTGTAGAGCAGTAAGGAGCTGAGCAGTGAAACAGTCTGCACTTCTTCCCTGCCCGAAGGACCAGTGCTTTTTTTTGCTCCCACAATGAAATTACTTTTGACAGGAAAGACAGCAAGAACAGGTGCTGTGTGAATAGCTGCCATAGTAATTGTGGCTGTTGGGATTCTGGCAAAAAGGCAGAGAGAAGAGTTTCCTGGTGCTACTAACCCTTTTAGTTGCAGATGCTGTAAGGCTTTTTTTTCTTCCAGTTTTCGTGGGTATGTTTAGTGATACAGAATAGCAGTGGCAATCAAGAGAATTAACATTGACTCTTACTGTCTTACACAGGGCTTTTCCATTAATTTCTAGAAAAAAAACCCCACAACACAGTTCAGGAGTGCTTTTTCATAATCCTGGTCATAACCAAAAAAAGAAATTTGTGCTTGCTGATAATTGGACTGTGTCTTATCTGCGTAGCCTCATAATTGTCCCAAAGTGGGCAAGTGGGATACTTCTGGACTAAATTAGAGTTTCTGCGAGTTTGCAGCTGCTGAATTACTCCAGCAGATCCACTGGCTGAAAAGCCATCACTGTTACTAAATGGTTTTCCTTCTTCATTTTTGTGTTGACATTTGCAGTTCCTGCTGTGTCTTCCCTGGCAGCTCTTGTCTTCCCTCTGCCTTTTTTGCAGAGGTGTAAAGCTCTTCCTACTCTTTGGAGAAAGGCATTTCTCAGTAGATGTAGTGCTGTTCTGCAGTTTACTCACCTGGTATCCCACATCTTGAATTTCTGAAGGCTGTTTAAAGGAAAATGCAGATCTTCCGTGTTGCCTGAGTTGTAAAGCGGATGTTCTCTTCATTAACACAAACACGTACAGAGTGTTACCTTCAGATCTCCTTCCTTCCAGGACTTTGTTCATCCTCGGTCTCTAAGGCATGGTAGAATTAAGTTCTGTGGAATAGACATACAACAGGAAAGCAGATCTGGCCCCTTTTCTATTTAGCAGTACAGAAAATGACTAAGATGATGAGCAGCATACCTGTTAAATTGTTTGTAGGTGTTTTAAAAAATACTGAGTCTGTTTCTCTCTGTAGGTAGATAGGGATTGTTTCTGTTTTTGAACTCTCCCTCTGTGTCTGTCTTAATGCATACCAATAGTGGATGCTGATGGCTCAGCAGAGAACTAATCTGAGTGTGTAAAACCAAACTTTCGTTACTCTCACCTGGATTAAAAAGGATGTGAGAACTTCCAAGTGCAGAAGAAGTCTGCTCTATTCAACCACTACCACCCGTATTGCTGCATCAGTGTGGGTCCAGTGGCTACTGCCCAACTGGTAGAATATTGTGTTGGAGGATTGGGACTGGTCTTGGGATAATCTCTCTCTGTTCCTTCTAGTGACTCTTTCAGACAGAGCCAAAACCACCTCACAAGTGTATTATTTGTACTGTCTTATCAAGTGGCTTACGTGTGTTCAGCCTTACAAACAGATAGCAAGATGTTTAAGGTTCTTTTTTTCTTGCGTTTTTGTTTTCCTCCTGCATTCTTGAGCAGTTGAAGTTTTAATTCTGTTTTTGGAAAATAAGAGACAGCCCTAAAAAACAGGTAAGATAGGTATGCAGCAAACTGAAACAAATTGTAGTGGTCTGTGACTGAAAGAGGTAAATTGCACCACATCCTGTAAATTGGTTGATTTTATATCTCAGTTTCTGCAAGAGTGGATTTGGGAATGCTGTAACCTGTCCTAGCTTGTAACTCAGTGGGCCTGCTTTTAGAATCTGAAGGTTTGTAAGGAAAGGAGCCAATTAATGAGACTTCATAAAACATAACAACACAGTCCATGTGTTAACCTGACCCTTGCACTATGGTAAATTGATTGATACAAAATCTGGTCCCTAGATGTTTTATGGAGGTAAGAGAGACCACGTGGGATGTGCTGTTGCAACTGAGCAGCTCCTTTTTGCTCTCACAGGAAAAGCTGAAGCCACATCGTGGTCAGCTCGAGGTGGTGCTTTGCTCTGAGAACTGAGGAGCTGGGGTGTGGTTCTTGTCTTTTTTTTCCTTTTCTTCTGAGGCAGACTTCCGAAGACAGCTTTTCACAGACAGATGCTGACATAGTTTGATTCTGAATATGTTTGGCCCGTGGATTATAGAAATTCCATATTGAAGGACTGTTGCCTTTATCTGATACAAGCAAAGCTATTGTACTTCAGATAGTCTTCTGTTTAAAAACCATTGGTCAGCCAAGTTCATAAAGTGGAAGTCAAATGAGGGATTAGAGAGAGAGTTTAGTGAAGACGAAGTATGCTTCTAAGTGCTCCTGCCTTGCTGAAGATACTTCCTTGGCTGATCTTAGCTGCATTAGTGTGAGGGCAGGCACTGCTGGGTGCTGGGAGTGATTATTCCTTAGAAGTGTCAACAGAAGTGGTAGTGAAGCAGCCATAATATATATGAGAATACTGTGAGGAGGTGATTAATGCCTTTTATTTGTGGGTCTGAATGTGCAGAAGAATGAGCATTTAGAAATTGTCTGCCCGTGAAGGACTGTAGTGTGGACAGTTTCCTTGGGTGCTTTTACAGGCTCCTTGAGACAGTCTGCAAGTAATGATTTTATGTTTTGGAAACTCAAGGGCTTGTCTTTCTCACAAGTGCAAACGTAGCAAGCTGTGGCACTGTGGAGAGGGAGAGCCAGACATTTGGTATCAATGGAAGATGAGTGCCACAATACTTGTGTAGTGGTGGACACTATTTTACATGGGAGTGCCTTGGTTTTGGCTCGATTGTTTGCAGAGGAGAATACTGCTTTCTCTGACTGTAAAAACTTAAAACAAAGGAGTGTATCTATTAGTGCAGAGGCATTAGAAAGCTCAGAGAATTACAGGAGTGAACAAGGAATGGTCGTGTCCTTGCTCAGGTAGAATTTAACGTGGGTGGTGATAAAAAGAAAGGTTTTACTTTGAGTTACATGGTGTGAGCTATCCCTCACATCTCGACTGGTGTCACGTGGAGTTGTTCTTGTAATTAGGCTCCAGCTGAATCACTGAAATCACCTGCTGACTGTTCTCTCTCATGCTCTTTTTTCTTATTTTCTTTTTTAAAAAGTGTTCACTGAGCTTGAAAGTACACCAGGCCCCCTTATGTGGTTCTGGATATTAAAGAGTTGTATTGATACCCTGTTTGTCACAATTTGGTTGTTTTGTACATTAATCTGAAGTGGATAAAGACTTTGCAACACGGTTTAAAATTAACTGGTCTGTCTGTAATTTTACCTGATCTCTTGAATTGTTGTGGCTTGTGGCCCTTTCCTAGTGGTTTTTAATGGCATGTTCCCAATTATCCAGTGCTTTTAGCTCCCTCTGTGTTCAGAGGTAAAAAGAATTCTGTATTCGAGTAGTATCTGAAAATGAATAGGTTGGATTAAAGCCAATTTATGAAAGGATTTTTACAGTACTCTTGGATTTTATCTACAAAAGTTTGGGATTTAATCTGTGAAAGACAGTTAACTGGGTTACTGTTTGCTTCTTCATATAAGTGATTCTGTGCAGCCCAGGGCACAGCGGAAAAAGTACGTTTCAAGTGCCTGTGTTGCACCGTGTGCTGACAGTGTATGCCTCAAACTCTTGCACTAGAGGCAGGTAAGATGTTGATGGCGATGTTCCCTTTGAAACATGTGGCTGCCTTTACCACCACAACTCTCTTCCTTTTAGAGGGTAGGAGTTCCTGCAGTGAGTTTGTGCTGTGGGGAGGCTCTAATTTTAAATAGACAAATCTTTGCAGAAGCTCTGCTTAGATTCTTTCTTACTTCTTGGGTAGCAAAGATCAGAGGAGGTGCTTTTGCATTTGACCTCTCAGGCTACAGCTCAGCGGTGGGTTGAGCACCGAACCTCGCTGAGCATTAGGAATGTTGGTGCCGTTGAGGAGTTGCTGTGCAGCCAGACTGCAGGGGTTATGGACTGGTACAACCTTCACAGTGCAGGAAGTGAGACAGTGATAAAGTGCTGATAAGGTGTTTAAGGTTCAAGCTGTACTCATAACCAACTCCTAGATTTTTACACGTTAGGACAGACTGATACCAAACATTTTAACTTTTTTTTTCTTTTTTTTTTTTCCTCCTTTTCATTTTGAATTTTAGGAGAGGATTTTAGTTTAGCTTCTGTTTTGCTGCAAAAAGCTAATAGGCTTGTAAGATAAGAACGGATGTTATTTTATATTTGCCATATGTCATGATACCATCACAGGTTCTTTTGGATAATAGTGCTAAGCGTGTGGTATATTGAGATTTTAAATGGAGTTGTAACTTGTCCTCGCAGACTCTCCCCCACTTCCCTCAGGCCAGGGAAGAGAGCAATTAGCATCTGTAGTGTGGTTTTTATATGTGATACAGAATTCATTTAGATTAGAAAATACCTGTAATTAAGTGTGGTTTGACTATGAGAACTTGGAAAATCGTATCTTGACATCTGTTCAATTGGTGCAGAATACTATGCAAGTCAAATTTTCTTCTCAAAATATATCTTCATGAAAGCTCAATCTGGAGAAAACAATTTCCTTGCTGCATCTGTCTTTCATGCACCCTCTTCGGTGCAGTCTCCTGCAGCTCTCCCCAGTTAATTTTTGGACATCCTTTTATCCAGTCCAGCATATCTTTCCATTAGCCTCGCTGTGCCAGCACGTTACAGCCCTGCTAAGGAGAAACTTGGTCTTGATGATAATCCCTAATTTCAAATGATAAGTTGCAGGATGCTGTGTTCGTTTTTGATGTTTGGAGATCACTGTTACCGTTTATAGCGTGCATGGCAAATAGGTATGTGCTTCAACTCAGTGATTCCTAAACGGCAATGTGCACACCTCCAGTGCAAGCAAGGTATTTCTAAAACAGTATCCAAAGGAAAGAATGTCTAATTGCCCCCCTCTTAAAGGGTTGCGTTTTTTGTAGCTAATTACAATCTCTTGTCTGTATCTGTGGGATAATTTGCTGCACCAGCATGAGGCAGGCACTGTGGACCTTTCCCTGCTGCTGTCAGCAGAGTCCAGCAGAGCTGACCAGAAAGATTCCCTGCTCTGATAATTATTTTTTTTTTCTTTTCCCTTTGATGCCCAAGAATGTTTTTACTGGAGACCAGAATTCATCATACAGGTTGAACAAAAGAAAGCTGGGCTGAAAATGGAAATTGAGCCAAACAAATGTTGTTGGGTTTAATCAGATCCAGGGAATCCCTGATGATGCAAGAGAGAGGCGAGGGAGGCGAAACGCTTAACAGGCGGCTTGGTTGCACCTTCCATGCTGCTGGGCATTGTGCACAGCGTTTAAGTCTGATGTACCTTTGTAAGTTTGCCTGTAATGAGTACCTGTTGTGGATTGTCTACTGCAGCTAGGACTGGGGATTCACAATCCTTCAAACCTAAGGTTAAGCACAGGTTTTGTGGGAAGCCCCGTTGGGAGATGGGTGGAGGGAGAAGAAGAGGGGGGAAAACTTGGCACGTTGACATTTGGATAATGCTAATGGTCTGGGACTGTATAAATGAAACCTTCTTTTGTTGTTTTCCTTGTTGCAGATGACTTATTCAAGGTTCACAAACTTAAGCCAAATCTGAAGTGGCGACAGGCTTTTGACAACTACTTAAAAACAATGCCTCCGTACTACTTACTGGTATGTTCCTTTTCTCCTTTAATCCTCCTGGTTATAATGGCTGGTGTAACCAGAATCCTGTGCATCATACCTCTTCCTAGGACATTTTGTTAATGTAATTATGATGACATTTTAGGTAGTCAACATTTTGCTTTGCAGAGGTATGTAGATCAGGTCAAACATTTTCAATAAATAATTAAATTTCTAGTACTATTGAGTAATAGTAACTATATTAAGATATTAAATGTATTTTCTGTTCACTAAATATTAAATAAGCTTTGATGTAAAGTACTTTGGATTGTCCAGAGAAACAAAATTTGGCAAATGCAGATTTGTTTGTTTGTTAAAGTGGGTGAAGTGCTAGGGGAAGCTGGTACAAAGAGAACTGGCTGGGCCAAATGAGGGGTGGGGGGCGGCACTGTGTCACCTTTTACGTGTAGCTTGGACAATGCACCTCAATATGGACTTGCATCATCCCGGCTATTCTGGTACTGAGCCTTTGAGCTGAAATTGCCAGTGGCACCACACCGTGTGGTGTCTTGGTAATGTGGCATAATGTCCATTGCAAGCTAGTTAGACTACCAAACTCATGTCACATGTTATCTGAATAGACTTGAATTTTAGTGGCCAAAAGTGGAAAAGCTAGAGCACTAATCCATGTGCCTTAGCTTCCTGTAATTGATCTTATAAATTTTTTTTTGAAGACTTACTCTCTTACTATTGTGTATTTTGTTTTCCTTATAGCCATTAAAGAAAGCCCTAAGGATGATGGGAGCTCCAAATCTGATATCAGATAATTTAGATTGTGGACTTAGTTACAGTGTTATCTCTTACCTTAAAAAACTCAGCCAACAGGTAGTATTGATAAAACCTTTGCGATTAGAAGTGCTTGATTATTTAGTTTGTGGTAATCTCATTATAAAGCAGTTAATCCCTGTGGGAGTTCATATGGGTGTACAACATACATTATAATTGAAGATTGGTCCAGAGTGATTCTGTAGCCAGCAATTGTGCCTTCTGTAAGTGGTGGAGGGGAGTGTAAAGGAGACCTCTTCAGCTACATTTAAAGTATCTGCTAGACCTTTAAACTCCAAAGATTATCACTAATTGGATTTATGACTGCTCTTGCCATTGTTTTTCACAGCTGAAGTCAGAGGCTCGCTCTCAGTCCCATGTTTATTTCCATGTCAAATCCATCCTATGTGTTAAGCGTGACCTGGTGGGAAATAGTCTTCCATATCTTTTTGTCAGGAGTGCCATTTCAGGTGTAACTCTCTGAAAGCCATGCCTCCTTAGCATGAACCGTTCTTACAACAGCAGTTTAATTATCTAGAAGTCAGTGGGGAAGCAGTGCAGCCTTTAAAATTCAAAGAAAATTTCCTCCGCCTTAAAGAATGCACAAAATACATTCCAAAAGTCTTTGAATGACTGAGCATCTATTAGACAGAAAACTTCCTGTGGTATTTTGGTAACATAATGATACGCAAATTCAGTTTGCCATACAGAGTTGGAATGGCCTGAGATGGCTACTGTGGTTTTCACAGACATTCTCAGCACGTGGAAAAGTTTGTGTGTTGGATGCACTCTAAGCTCCTGTATAGGGACAAGCAGTTCCAGAATTCTGCTGTGTTCCTGCTGCCCTTAAATTCAGCGTTTCCCACAGATAATGAAGCAAACTGCAGAGGTTGAGATCTGGGGGAAGTGGGTTCCAATCACTGTGGGTGTTGGGGTTTTGGTTGGTTGGGGTTTTTTGGAGGTATTGCAAGTGGGTAAAAAAATCTTCCTTTGAATGCAATTAATGCTTAATACAGTAAAATTATCTGTAGCTATTAAAAAGTCTGTGCTAATTGGAGTAGTATGTTTTTAGAAACTTACTGTTGAAGCAAATTTCTTCTCTTTTACTACTTTTCTCCCTTATCTCGTTACAAACATATATAGTGCAAACCTTAGTTTGTAGGTTGTTCAGAAAGTAAAATCTGAAATTATATTACTGTACCTGAATAAGTGTGTTGTTTTAGGTGCAACTTCACAGTAACCCAAGGCATTCCACCTTCCTTTTTTTTTTTTCTTCTTTCCCTTCAAAGATGATTCTTCAGGCACACAAAGTCACAAACTTGCAGCACAATCAGGGATATTCTCAGACCTCCCGCTGGCTTATAAGTTCAGATACACTGGCTAAATATTTTTTCCGTATGCTAGCACACTAGGATTTCTTTCTAGTTGAGGTATAATGTATATAATCCAGTATATCCCCGAGTAGGTAATTCTCCCGTTTGTTGAGTAGTTGGGAACTAAATTTATAGTTGTATTCTGTTAATGTACTGTGTGTTTTATACTGGAAATCTGCAATGGCTGCTGATTCTTTAACTCATGGTGTGATTCCATTTTAGACAAAAATAGAGTCGGAACGGATAATAGGTTCAGTGGGTAAGAAAGTTCCACAAGAAATTGGAATAAAAGTGAAAAATCACTCCAGTGGCCTCTCCTTGGTACACAGTAGGGATTTTAAGCAACTGCTGCAGGGGATCACTGGGGAATCTCCACTCAGACTGGCGGAAATGAATGTGAAAGAATTTGCTGGCTTCCACATAGGACTTTTAAACAAGGTAAACAGCATAGCAATCTTGCATGGTTAAGCATTTGATCTCATCTGTTTTAAGTGGGTAACTTTTATGGACTTAAAGTAGAAGGAAGTACTTCCACTGAATCGTGAAGAATGCAGCGTAAGCATAAATAGTGAGAAGAGTAAATGCAATTTTCTGCCCTTGATTTTGAGACATTATTTGAAAATCCCATGGTAGTAAGGGAAGATTACTGTGTTTTAATTTACAATTGCTATGAAAGACAGCCAGTGGTGTTCATCCAGGAATTAACTTGCTTAGTCATAATGGAGCTGAAAGCGCTAATGCTGAGTAAGGTCTTGTTGAAAAGTCAGTAATTGAGTCTGTTCTGTCCAGTTAGGAAGCTCTGAAGCTACTTCAGAATATTTTTTTCTTTTTAAGATAACATTATTACAGTTCATAGAGGAATTTCTCTGTGTATGAGAACTGATGGGTTAACTGAAAGTTACTTGTTTTGTTATAAAACTAGGATTTGAAGCCACAGGCGTTCAGAAATGCATATGATATTCCTCGTCGCAGTCTTCTAGACCAGCTAACTAGAATGAGAACCAATCTTCTGAAAACACACAGGCTTATCTTGGGGCAGGATGAAGGTAAGTAGCCACTGCTCATCATTAACAGTTTATAGGGAGTACTGCTAATTTTTTTTTATTCGCTGAAGTAATATTTTCTGTCCTGGATGTGGGAGCAGAAGTGGACATTGCATCATTCTTTAGTCAGTCAGTGTCTTTTTCTTGAGTCAGAAGAGGAAAGAAGGAAATTTTTGCTTTCTGTCATGCAAGATGTCATGCCTTCTTTGAGTTTTAAAAATCACTTTTATGGGAGAGCTTTCCCATACAATAAGGTTCAGTAGACCGTTTTTTTATAGTGATGGTAGCTTAAAGCAGAGAGAGGCTTACTTCATTTTACCTTTATTAGGTTCTGGTGGTCTAAAGATGCAGTTGTTAGCATAGGGATTAAACTTGCTTATTTTTCATTCTTCTGATTAAGCTCAACTCTTGCCAGCCTTATTTCTAAAATTGTAGTTTTCAGCTTTTCTTCTGTAGAGAAAAGAAATAGTAATTTCTAGTTCTTAAATGCTAACACTTGCAACTGAAGTGTGTGAAGTTTATATTGCCTCAGCTTTAAGGTCAACTGAATTGAGATCACTTGTTCTGTTGCAGACTGTCTTCATAGTGTTCCTGTTGCTCAGATGGGAAATTACCAGGAATATCTGAAAATGATGCCTTCACCCCTTCGGGAGATTGACCCAGATCAACCAAAAAGACTTCATACATTTGGCAATCCATTTAAACAGGATAAGAAGGTAGGAGGAGCCGTGCTCTCTGCTGTGTCTTTATATCTGACATTGCTTGAAATAATTTGTGAGTAGAATTTCTCTCCAACAACTGCAGTATGTTGCTAACCTGTGTAGCTCTTGTATCATGTGCGGAAAGGACTGATGTCTTTCATTTCACGTGGTTCAAGAGAAACACGTAAAGAATTCCGTGGATTTGCAAAGTGGCACTGGTCTGTCTCTGGTTACAGTGTGCGTTAGGTATCTTGGTTCTGAGAGCTGTAAAGTGTTTTGAAAGCCACCTGAATTTTAACACTGAGGGACTTACCCCATCAATGAATTGATGGAACAACTGCTATTTTGTACTGTTGGGGGTTTTTTATTTAGATAGTTTTTTCTTTTCAGGGTATGATGATAGATGAAGCAGATGAATTTGTTGCTGGGCCTCAGAATAAGATTAAGCGTCCTGGAGAGCCCAACACCCCAGCGTCACTAAAGAGAAGGCGTAGCATGTCACCACTGCTGAGACGGCCACAGTCACCGCCCGTCGTAACGAATCACGTTGGTGGGAAAGGGCCACCATCTGCTTCTGGATCGCCATCGTATCTGAACCTCAAAGGTGTCCCAGCAAGTAAAGGTATATTGAGTTGTAGTAAAGCAGCCTGTGCAGTCAGAAGTGGGAATGGCTGTGTTAGAAAAACAAACCAAAACAAACAGCAACAACAAAAAGACAACAGCAACCAAAACCCCACAACTTCGTGTGTTTTCTGAATCGATTCAAAAGGGTGTATCAGCATGTGTGTGTGCTTTAGTGTTATATAGGACTGAGTTTCTTTTGTTGGCATAGATAAACAGGCAGCTGCTACAGCTTGTGAAGTCTGGAATAAAATAATTTTGAGCTGGTTTTTTTCTTCTTTAAATAAAATACTGAAACCTTTCACCAAGATGGTTTGGAAGTGGCAAGGATTTAAGATCAGCTTTTAGTTCTTATTTGTTTATTCCATGATGGGGAGGGAAAGTTTTAAAATATGGTTATGTTTTCATTTCCCACAAATGCTAATTTTCTTACCCACTTATTGTAGCAAATGGAGTCAGAAGAAAACTCTGTTAGCTGGAATTGGGGGAAAGAAGACACTAGTTTACTTAGAAGTCATAACACTGCAATAGGAATACAGAAAATGATGACTTCATGACAGTGATATGAGATGGTAACAGTCCAAAGGGAAATACTCCTTTGGTCGCATCAAAATTTGAAAAGAAGTATTGGAGAGTTGTTCAGCACTGTCAGATTGCTGTGCAGTACTTCAAACAAGAAAGGATACAGAATAATTTCCTTTTGTTATTTTGATACTGCAGATATGCACTACTAAGGTACGTATTTTTAATTTGTAGATACCAATAACAGTATTGTCCAAGATGGCAATGGGGAGAAGAAAGCAGAAAACTGTCAGTCACTGGAAAAGCAAATTGATGGCTTACCTGTGCAAATGGGTCCTTCAGTTCCAGCTGCTATCGGAGAGGATGAAATGTTACCCGATGACCTAGACTCTCTACCTGTTGAATTCAATTGTTTAAATGAAGATGGGCTGGATCACAAACCTGGTACCAACACGCTTGCTCGAGGGTCTTTAAATTACAGTGTGGCTGGAGATGACCAAAAACGGGTGATAGAGTCCACTTCTGAATCCGTGCCAAATTCATTTAAAATAACACCTATGATGTTGGAGGGAAACAACGCTGATATTAAAATTAAAGTGATGAAAGAGGTTCGCAAACCTGGAAGAAGTAAGTTGTGTGGGGTAGTTTTTATTAATGTATTATATGTGGTGCTACAGAGAAGAGGCTTTTTCCTTGAAATAAGGAGCTATTTTTAATATATGTACAGCTTTAGATTTTGAATACTTTGATTGCTTGCATATGAGCAACAGAGGGACAAAAAAAGGAAGAAAGTGCTTACATTCTGGGCAGGTGAGTTGAAGCTTAGACAGCAATGTTTGGGAAGTTGAGTGCAAAGTGACCTTGTTTGCCCAGGTTAACTGGTGTGAGAGGTACCCTGTGAAACCTTTCAGAGATTTTGGTTTTGATACTGATGATCTCATGAGACGAGATGGACTCTGCCTTACGCTGCACTGCTCCTTACGTAGGCTTTGTGGCTGTGTCCATCAGAACCTCCTTTGGAGGGCAAAGGCATGTGTACCTACAAAGGTGCATCTTGGAATATGTTTGAAAAGGAATCTTAGAAGTTAATAGTGAAGTGATTTTATGAGGTAGTGATGTTGGTGATGGAACACTGCTGCAAATCCTTAAGAACTGAAGACTAAAAGTTACTTTCTTTTTTTTTTTTTCCTATAAGGTTTGATAACCCCCCCCAGAATCTAAAACGTTGTGAGAAAGAGTAACTTGCCGCCTTGGTTTCTGTTACATGTTTTGCTTGTATACAGGATCAAAACTAAAACATTAACTTGAAACTCCCAACTAATGGGTATGACACAGGATATGCCATAGGCATAATCTTTCCATTTTTTTCTTAAATGGCAGATGTCCCTAATGTGGTCTGTGTCTGAGTGAATTATTTCTACAAATTAAATTAACGAGTATTTTTCTAATACATTGTCAAGTGCCAGTAATTAGTGCCATGGAGTATTCTTAACTCCTCTGTTTTTCTGATCTTGAGTTGCTTTCTCAAAACTTTGCATTTCTGTGAGACGTGTACTCATTGTGGCAGACGGAGGCTGTTGAGAGATGAAGTCATTTTTATGCTGCATCTGTATTTTATTTTTAAGATGTTTTAAAACTTCATAATTGGGTATGTCTTTGCTTCCTGTTTTGTACAATGGGCTCATCTAATCTTACACCAAATTCATGGCTAGTAAATGGTGATGTCGAGTAAAAGAGTACTATGCTCAGTATGAGTCACCAGTCTTGCCACAGAGTTTAGGGGCTCATCAAAGAAAGAAGCTAAGTAGTAGTGGGTTAAATATGTACATATATTCACAGTTCTGACCTTATATCCCCTCCGTGCCTGCTGCATCACTCTGAGCAGGCTCTTAGTCACAGCATCATGGTATCTTCATACTGGGTTCAACCACAGAAAATATTGAAACAATGCTATTTAAAAATTTGGTTCTTATTTAATGTGTCCAGTTCATAGAATCACAGAATGGTCTGTGATGACCTTAAAGCTCATCCAGTCCAACCCCTGCCTTGGGCAGGGACACCTCCCACCAGACCAGGCTGCTCAAAGCCCCATCCAACCTGGCCTTGAACACTTCCAGAGAGGGGGCACCCACAGCTTCCCTGGGCAACCTGTGCCAGTGTCTCACCACCCTCACAGTGAAGAATTTCTTCCTAATATCTAGTCTAAATCTACCCTCTTTCACTACGATTCCTGACAAAGAGTCCCTCCCCAGCTTTCCTGTAGGACCCCTTCAGGTACTGGAAGGCTGCTCTAAGATCCCCCCGGAGCCTTCTCTTCTCCAGGCTGAACAGCCCCAACTCTCTTAGGCTGTCCCTATAGGGGAAGTCTGGACTTGCTCCAGCAGGTCCATGTCCTTCTTACATTGAAAGCCGCAGAGCTGGGTGCAGTCAGTATTCCAGGTGGGGTTTCATGAGACCAGAGTAGAGGATATATTTACTTTGTACCAGTAAGAGAGTCATGTTAATTGTGCTCACACTGAGCATTGATAATTTGTCCTTCCAGTAGAACTAATTCTGACCTCGGCTCTCAGAAATGACAGCTGTAGGTTAAAGCACGGCTTGGTGGCCTTCTGTGCATGGTAACTGCTACTGGTGGCACTGTGCTTATGGAGATAGGGGGCTTCTTTACCTAGCCTGCGTTTTCTGCATTTCTCTTAAAGAGAACCTAATTCTTTGGTGCCACATTTGAATACCAGATGATCAGTGTCACTTTGAATTATTGGTATCACCTGCTTTCTGTGCCTAAAGCTAATGTGGGCCTTTTTACTGCCTCACGTGTATCACCATTATATTACCATACTTCTGTAAGTGTGAAACTCTGGGCTTTGATTTTTCTTCTGGCTGTTAAGCTTTATTGAAAATGTGTTTGCAGGACTTCATTTAATATATGGTTGAATTTTTGTCTTTTTCTTTTTTTAGATTACGAAAAAGTTTTCTCTCTTCTTGAAGAGGTGCAAGGACCTATAGAAATTCGGAAGTATTTCATTGAATTTGCTATCAAGGAAGCAGCAAGGTTTGTATAGATACAAATGACTTGGAGTCATAGATTAGAAGTTATTTTAGAATCGTGATAGTAAATTATAAACTTTTCCAGTATTAGTACCTTCTGTTTTCCTTTTTGACGTATTTCAATTATTATAGTTTTAGTGCTCAAATCACTATTATATTCTTACAGAGTAAATGACCTTTACTTTAAGCTTAAAAGTGAAATACAGAGATGGGTCATTATTGAAGACTGACCCAAAATTTGGGTGGGTTGGGGGAGGGCAGCTGTATTCAGTTAAATTTCCTGGTCATTTGAGTGCCAGAAATAAAGCAAGCTTTTCCGTGCTGGAAACAGAGAGCCTGTGGTAATGTGATTTGTCATGGCTGAACAGTCTTTGAGTTGTTCGACTGTATTTTTGGAAGAAAAAAAATAAATTGCTTTCCCTCTCTTCCTTAGGTTTAAAAAACGGGTCTTAATACAACACTTAGAGAGAATACTAAAGGAGCTAGAATTCAACAGCCTACCCAACAGAGTAAATCATGTCAACAGTAGATAATAACGTACCGGCCAGACGAATATGGACCAGGAATGAGTTTGCTGTGCCACAGAAGAGTGGAAGAGGATGTAGCTGCTGCCCTCACCATCTTGGCAGTCAAGTGATTTTACTGTCACAGTCTGAGAAGAAGCAGTGGAGTTTTAACTTTAAGAATCTCCATCGGCAGAAGCTGGGCTATAACCTTAAGGATTTGCTATGAAAGGTGTGGCTTTTTTCCTGTGGAGGGTGCTATTTGCTCAGCAGGCTGAAGAAAATAACCATTGCTGCCCCTCCTGCAGGTGATGAGAATTTACTCATTTGAACGCTGTCATTAGACATTTACGTGCTATAGGCAGCAGGTTGCACTAAAATGGGGCACTGTCAAATGCACACACTGTCTGCATCGTGGAGAGAGAGCCCGTGTGTTCCCAAAAAAAAATCCTCCCAGAAACACCTGCACTGGTAAAATTGCATGTTGCCACCACAGAGAAAAGGGTTTTGTTCCCAAGAACTGCTAGCCATGCCTTTAAACTTGAGATTCAGTGTAGATTGAGAGTAAAGAAACTGCTATTGTGTTAATGAAAGCTAAAGACAGCCCTGTGACTGTTACCACCTGATGGTCACTAAACAATCTACCTCAGACTCTCTTCTGTTTTGTCTGCAGACATTATGAAAGTGCACCTGAGGCTTCCCAGGTCCCCGACTTCAGTTCTCTTTCATCCTGTGAGGAGGACGGAGATTCTTCAGGTGGCCTTGGCACACGCTGTGCTTTGGAAGCACTAAAAGGAAACGCTTTTAAAAATGTGTATTTTAATGTTCATACAAAAGAGATTATTTTGAACAGTATTGTTACCAGATCACTAATTTGATATTTTAACTGTATAATTTTTTGGAACATATGTATATATAAAATAAACCATTTTATTAATTTTTAATAAGTGCTAATCTGAGGAGTCTGTAGCGGCAGCACTGAGTTCCTCCAATTGTCTGTTACCAACAGACTGCTAATATTTTTGTAAAGCCAGTGAGTAGTGTAGCTGTACTGCAGCTGAACCTGATCTGCGCACCCTCAAACACGGCTTGTGGTTTTAGTTGCAGAGTGTGTTTGCACCCTGGAGCACCTGCCCCATCACTCAGCTCAGCCTGAGTGGGGTGCACGTTTTTCCTCAGTATTAAAGGCACTAAGTTCCAGTTTTCCCAGCCCTTGGTTACCTGAGTGGGTATCCTCTCCTCCTTTCTTCTTACTATTTTGTCCAAAGGTTATCTTACATCTCACAAAACAGACAAAGAAGACTGAAGCACCTGCATGTAATTATTTTTTCTCTTTAAAGCAATACCAATAATGTGCCAGTAGTAAACGGCTCTTCTGATAATTGTGTATTTGCAGTTCGCTCGTAACATCCTCTGATCCTTTTAACAGCTTGCTTTTAAAGACAGGTTGAAGTTGTGCTCATGTTAACCAGCTCTTTACCTCGTGCTACAGGTGTCCTAGGGATTCCGGTTGACTAGTCAGTGCAAGAGAGGCAGGGAAACAGGTTTTAGCTGGAGAGCCTGTACTTCTCTGTTCCTACTGATATTTTTAGTACTAGCCAGCTTGTGAGACATCTTTTCCATCCGCTCTGAAGCAGTGGCCTTGTCTATCTGAAAGATGCAGACCAGTGGAGTTACACCAGTGAAATTCAAGAAGGAAATAAAATCCAACAGTGGCAAATCTCTGTCACAGCGTTATATGAATGAAGTGACATGGGGAACAGCGTTACTATAAATGTGTCCTAATCCTTCTCCTAGAAGTAACTTTTGCTCCTCTGTACAGTTGAATATTTTTTTAAAACCACAGAAATATCTTGGAATTGTCATACAAAGAGGGATTCACTCCTTCAAAATCGTTACGTGGCAGCTGTATGTCACCAGGGTAGACTTCCCATGCCTACTGCTGGACTTCTAAAAGGGAATTTATTTACAGAGGGTCAGATATACTATGCATACCTTCTTGTAAAATGGCCTGGTTACATGCATCAAGTTGCATGTAGCACGCTATTTTTGAAATAGTAAGTGTTAAGAGGAGACAGCTTTCTTCTATCTAGTTAACGGTTATTAAATTTTCTGATGCCAGAGATACTCACAGTGTGAGCAGGGGCTGAGTTTTTAACTGATGACCTTGTTAGCGTGTAAGCCCTCTCTTTTGATGCGATGCAGTTGGCTGCCAAATTAGCTACAGGAAGCTGGTGACTTTTGTTCACTTGTTTGGAGTCTTATACCTCAGAAGCTACAAAATAGTCCATTCAAGTACAAGCAGTGAGAATTTTCCCTTACTATTACTTTATCTTAATAAATTGAATTTGGATCAGAATATTAGAGGGGAAGAAACTCTTTAGTGAACTGGACATGACCCTTCATAAGAAGGAAGAAAGATGGACCATCTTCATGGGTAGTGTCAGTGAGGAGATGAAGACAAAAGAGCAACAGCAACCCATCGAAGAGTGCGCAAAGCCCTGCGTCCCAAACGGAGCACAAAATGAACGGGGCTTGCTTGGGAAACAGTGAATGCTCCAGGAGTGTTCCTCAGAAGGCTGCCCTGGTCCACAAATACATGTGGATGTGCACTTTAAGCAAAGTTGCATTTTTGAGCCCTTATCAAAAGTTGGAATACTACAGCACGCTTGAACTGGAATGGTAGGAAGTGGAGAAAAAGAACATGGCTCGCTGTGGTTCCTGTAGGGAACATTGTTTAACGGTCTGAATTAACAAATGCTTCTCTTTCTGCCATGGGTAGAGGGGTTGTGTGGTACTTTGGAGTCTGGGTACCTGGAGGTGTTCTGCTGCTTCCATTTCCTGGCCCTCTCCCAGCCGGGCATCCTCATTGCTCGTTACATTTATTTTTTTCCCTTGTAAGCACCAAGGAGTTGTCACCTTTCCTAAAAAGAGCCCACAGCCATGCAGCTCCCTGTCCAGTCACTGATGGCAGACGTCTGTTAGGTGCTGCTGTTCCCAAGCTGTGTGCTCAGTGCATTTATGATGGGCAAGTGTGTTCTTGCCTAGGTTTAGCCAGCAGCAGAGAGCGACTGTCATCTTCCACAGTAAAAGCTGTAGAGGCTGTTGCTGTGCTATGCTTGACTTTGCAGTGGTCAAGCAATCGTCTAATCTCCCTTTACAGGAAACCGTAAAAAAAGCCCCCACGCCAAACTGAACCAGCAACAGCCCCCCCAACCTACCCACCATAATTTTTTTTTCTGCTTTTCTTCTGGTAATTTTCTTCAGATTCTGCCTCTGAACTGACGGGCTGAAGTGGCAGCAATGTAGGGTGTTAATGTTGTTGCCTTTTGTTCTGTTAATATCTATGAAGAAACTTTGGATGGAAAAATACGAGTGACAGCGCGTTGGCTAACAGATACGAACTATTAAAAAACCCTGTGAACTATAGTGTTTCATACCAGCAACACTGCAACATCTCATCCTTAGCAGACGGACTCTGCAGCGCTTGTCTTGAAGAATACGCAACCTAGTTAAGCTGAAAACAAGGCCAGAGACACTTCAAGTCTGGCAGAAACGAGGTTTGGCAGAGATCTGAAGGAAGGATGTTAGTCACTGGATTTAAAAGGAGCTGCTGCTTTCAGGTCTGCAAAATCAAGCTGAAGTCTGTCTGAAGTGGAAAAGGAAGAAACTGCACAAGAATAATGCCTTGGTATTTAGCAAAAATCTTGTGGCCTGCAGGAGTGATTAATCTGTACCTCTAAATCTGAATCTTGTGATCGTTTCAGGGAGGGAAGACTAAACCAAAAAGGGTGGATTTGTCTGATCTCCATTCCAGTTCAGCTGCAACCTGGCATGTTGTTTCATCCCTGAAAGTAGACTTGGCTTGGCTTAAGCATTGGTGTTTTTCATCTCCCATTCCACGCTGACAGTGTTGGCGACTGTGTCTTGGTAGTGGCTAAGAAAGCGTGGCGGTTTTGCAGGAGCCTCCTTGTTGTCGTCTGTCAAGCAGGGAGCGTGGGTAGGGTCGATGGGAAAAGCAGCCGCTGCTTGCGTGCTGCAAAAGCTGCTTCAGCTTCATCTGTTCCACTTCAGAGCCTTTGTTTTAAAAGCGTATGAGATGCTTCTCGGGGCTAGTGGTGCAAATCTGGTAACTTCAGTGGCTGATTGCTCAGAGTTCAGGAGAAGGATGCGCCAAGGAAGGAGTGGAACTGTTGGTACAAGCCTGTCCTAAACTCACCAGAGGGTGTTTTCATCCGCAGTGGGAGGACAAAGCTGCGGTAGCTGCGTACGCCTTCCCTGAGTTGGCAGCCACATGCGTTTGCCATAAAGGATGACTGCTGGTACCATGTAAAGAAAACAAAACCACTCTTTTACCCAGCGCTGGGAAGCTATCAAAGCAGCAGCATATTTCTGAGGATTTTGAGCTTGGGCTGAAGCTCTTAAGCATTTTATGGTGAAGTACCAAAGAATAGTTTGGCCTGGGAGAGGCAGTGGAATGGAAACCCATGATCAGATTTTTGCTGGAGATTTATTAGGTTTTTTTGAGAGGTTTCAGGAAGTTTTATCTCCACATCTGCAGCGGGAATTCCATGGCTCTTTTCTGGTCCTGGATCAGCTCCAACAGCAGTGGAAGTAGCTGGATGCTTGGCATTTATACATGCTTGTTGTCAGCTCAATCGCCGTGACTCCTCTAATGCAAATGGTCTTGCATAATGTCCCTTAAAATACCGGGCACCTCTGGCAGTTTGCTGTATCCCAGTGCTCCGCTTGCCACTGCTGAGCAGCTGGTAGGAGGGACAGAAAGCTGTTTGCAAAGCGTCCTCATGGTGTGCTCCCGTTTGTCAAATGCAGCCCCACAGCACAGTGAGTCAGGAGAAGAGGTTTATAAAGCATTTTGGTGGTTATGAGGGCAAAGCTCTGTTTGCGTGGTCGGCCCGTTTCTTGTCACTTTCCTCAGAGTACACGCATGTTTTAATGTTACACTTTATTTGTAAAAATTCAATAATGTGGAATATATTAAAGAGAGGTTCAGCCTTTTGTAAAGGATGGGGTTGGAAGACTTCTCCTCTTGCTTCCTCTTGCAGCCGTGCCCAGCCTGCTTGTGCGGAGAAGGACGCTGGGCTGCGCTCCGCTTCTCTGCAGGGAAGGAGGGATGGGCTCGGCTCTGCTCTGGAGCCGTCCCAGCTCTTGGGTCTGTGAAACAGGCAACTGAGGCTGGAGTTTTGCTGGATTTGTGGAAATGCATGTAGTGTTTCTTGAGGTGGCGGTAGCGTGAGCAGTTCCCGTCTGGGCGCAACATTCAAAGCTTGGGAACCTGTTGATATAACTGAGGTTTGATTGTGAGCACTTGAAGGTGTTTTGATCAGCGTGCACTGCTGTGGTAGCTGCCTGATCGCCTGGTAGTGGGTGCCTCAGGAATCAAGGGTGCTTTCGTAAGTAGGACAGAAATAAAAACGAACCCTTTTCCCCAGGACTAAAAAATGATTAAAAAAAAAAAAGGCATTTTGCTGATTGCAGATGATTATAATGCAGCTGCTCAACAGTGACATCCCAGCCATGGAAAAATAACATTGGTTCTTTGAGCTATTTTCCAGTCTGTGCAGCGTATTAAAATCCTTCATGCACAGCTGGCACATTTAACTTTGATTATTATGTTGAAGTGACTGATCTGAGAGCAGCCTGCATCCTAGTTGCTTGCAGAATTCAAAAATAAGGTTGTTCCAATTCATCCACAGTTGGTTATTTTGGAAGAGACGCAAACTATCTCAAGTACTTTTAGGGCTGCTAATTAAAGTCTTGTGGCAGCACTCCTCTGAGAGTCTCTAAGGATGGATGGAGGGACTTACCCAAGGTCGTATACTGTGTAACTAGCAGAGATAGTTATAAAATCTGTGCCCTAATTTGGTCTTGTACACGGAATTAGTTTCCCGGTGTTGAAAATCCCACCACAAAACACCCCGCCGGCTGTTGGGCTCTT